TGTAACTACCAGTTTCATAGCAAAACAGATATCATTTTAGTTTGGTTTAATTTTCATTAATCGTGAAATCATTTAACTGTACAAAGAGTATGAAGCCTAAGGGAAAGAGTAAGGATAGAATCTTGCCTCAGAAACTTTTGTTCAAAGTTTCAACGTCGTCTTCTTAAAAAAAATCTCGGCGAGTTCCAAAACCCGGTTACTGTTCACAGGTACGAAACACTATTCCTGAACTCAAAATCTGATCTTCACCGTTCAAATTGTGCGACACTGAGTCATGAACTTATCTTCCAAATTTCAGCTCGATCGGACCACAGACGAAGTGAAATCGGATGTTTGATGAAATCTGGGCAGAATGGAAAAAACCTGTGCGACCCAGTTACTGTTCACGAGTACGAATCACTGTTCCCGAGGTCAAACTCTGATCTCCACCATTCAGATTGTGCATCACTGAGTCTGAACCTCTCCTCCAAAATTCAGCTCGATCGGACCACGGACGAAGCGGGATCAGAGCTTTGATCAAACTTTGGCAGAATGTGAAAAACTGCGTTTTTCCTTCTCTACTTCCACAAAACGTGTGCTTTGTTTAAAAAAAACCCTACACAGACGTCTACCTTATACTTATAGAGTTTTCCTAAACCCTAGGTTCATTTAAGTCCAACTCACAATCCTAACCGGCCCATCCAATTAACGTAGAAACCTACGACGGCTATAATATAAAACCCTAATTTATACTGTAATTAAAACCCTAGTTAGATGTATTTACCTAATTACCCTATTCACCATTAAATACTTAACAAATAATCTAATTGAACAAAATAATAATTAGTAAACCCAATTAAACCAAATAAGACACACATAAAATAAGACACACATAGAATAATTAAACCAATTACATTTAAACCATTAATGCCAATTAAATAATTAAAACACTAATAAGTAATTCCAATCAAATAACTAAACTAATTACACTTAAACCATTAATGCCAATTAAATAATTAAAACACTAATAAGTAATTCCAATCAAATAACTAAAAATAAATATCATTTAAATAAATTAAATCACCACAAAAGAAAACAATTAAGCACCTAATAAAAAAATAATGACACATAATCAAATAAAATACACTTAAATAATAAATTAAATACCATTAAATACCCATAATCAAATAAAATGCACTTAAATAATAAATTAAATACCATTAAATACCAGGAATTTCCTTTTTAAAATTAGGGGTATTACAGTTTGTGGCTGGGTGCTTAAACAACAAAACAATATACAAGTATGCAACCTAGCTCGCTATTGACGGATAAAAGGAACTGAATTGCTAGAATTAATTTTTAGCAAATTCTTGGATAATATTATGATTTTAAATCTTATTTGAATGCATGATACAATAGTTGATTTATTAAAACTAATTTATTCATGCTTTGGATGCTTGTTGATGAACCGTTAAATAATACATGGTTTAACTTTTGGATTTAAATTGCTGAAATAATAAATATTCTTCTGCAATTGTTTGGAATGATTTCGGATTGTAAATTACTAACATATATTTATATGTTGTAATTTACATGGTTTTGGATTTTAAATTGCTGAAACTTAAAACACTTTTCTGCAAGGATATGGATATTTGGTTTTGGACTGTAAATTACGTGCTTAGTATTTATATGTTGTAATTTATATGGATATGGAGGATTGTATGCACCGGTATGGGACGGTGACATACTAGGTATGGTTTAGCTCAAAACGTTAATTCATACATTATGAATTTTAATTGGTGAACAGTTTTATCTGTTTAATCAATTATATGGATTTTGTGGATTATATGCACCGTTATGGGACGGTGTCATACTAGGAACAGACTGATTCAAAATACTCAGTCCTCCCTATTTTGGAATAAGGGTACGAATTATAAAAACATAATTCTCCTTATATTTAAGTCTGTGTAGTTAAATAAGCTGAACGACTTACTGGATCTCTTATATAAGTCTGTGCGGCTGAATAAGCTGAACGACTTATTGGATTTCCTATGGATGGATATGAATGGATTTTAAATATATGTTTATGGTACCACGAGAGGAGCTTGAGTCTTAGACTCATTGGTTAGGGTGCGTATATGCAGTGGATGCGTAGCTGGCTATAGTAGATTGAGGTGTACCCTGTTAGGTCTAGGTACTCATGCCCACCTTTGGGTGCGTTTTCACATGTTGCCTTCTATTCAGGTTGAGACCCCTACTATAGTCCATTGAATGTCCCTTAGTGTGGATATATCTATATGTATGGACTAGATAGCTATTGTTGAGATATCTAGGGTGTATCTGCGTATCGGGTCACTGTTTGGATTGTAGTTAGAGTAGAATTTGTATGTGGGCCTGACCCACTCTTATTTTTACAGGTGTTCGTTAGTTCTAGACTTAGAGCTGGATCGTGCTGAGCAGATACAGTTATTCACTCCACCGATGACCAGGGTTTTATTTCATATTTTAGACTTGGGATTCATTTCCAATCTTTTGAGTTCAGTGAAATATTTTAGGGGTCCACTAGATGGATTCCCGAGTTGTAATAGGAATGGAGAAGTAGGATGTATCAGAATCATTCTTTGTTAATTAAATTTTATTCTGAGATTTTTGGATTATTATTCTAGTTTCTTTTCAACAATTTATTTATTTATTTTTTTTTTCTTTTCTTATTTGTATTCTGTGTTCGATTATTGCTAATTGATTTGATATCCTCGGGTTATCGAGCGTGGGCCTGGCCAACCCGCATCCGGAAATTCGGGGGTATCACAATCACATCTTTGGATGGGGTTCTTTATGTTGACACACCAGTTGGGGGACCAGTTACGTTGGATAGGATTTGTCAGGGTTGTGCTATTGAAATAGCCGGGCGGACATTGTGGTTCGACTTCATTCCTCTTGAGATGACGGGTTTTAACGTCATTCTTAGGATAGATTAGTTGTCTTTTTTTCGAGCCACCATTGATTGCTTTCGAGGGAGGGTGACCATATGTACTCCCAATGGAGATTGTTTTTACTTTGTGGGAGATCAGAGCGATTCACACACTTTGACCGTTTATGGTATTGGTGATTGGGGTTGCCACAGGTTCTACTTAGCCAGCCTTTTAGCCAAGGAAGAGTGGAGTCTGGGTGATAGTTTTCCAGCGGTGGTTGGTGAGTTCATTGATGTCTTTCCAGAGGAGTTAAGAAAGTTGCCTCCCATACGGGATGTTGTGTTCGCCATTGATGTCATACCCGATACTGCGCCTATCTCTATGGCGTAGTATCACATGGCACCAGTGGAGTTGAATGAGTTGAAGAGCCAGTTGGATGATTTGAAAGCAAAGGGCTTTATTCGCCCTAGTGCTTCACCGTGGGGAGCACCGGTTCTTTTTGCGAAGAAGAAGGATGGGTCTTTAAGACTTTGCATCAACTATCGTAAGTTAAACCATGCTACGATCAAGAACAAGTATCCTTTTCCGAGGATAGATAACTTATTTGATCAATTGAAGTGAGCTAAGTGTTTTTCGAAGATAGACTTGAGGTCGGGCTACTATCAGTTGAGAGTAAGGGATGAGGATATCCCTAAGACCGCTTTTCGCACACGGTATAGCCATTATGAGTTCCTTGTGATGCAATTTGGTTTGACCAATGCTCCAGCAGCTTTTATGGACCTGATGAACCGTGTGTTTAGTGCCTATCTTGATGAGTTTGTGGTGGTATTTATTGATGACATACTCGTGTACTCATCTTCGAAGGAGGAGTATGAGTCTCACTTGAGAACAGTGTTGTAGACCCTTAGGGATAACCGGTTGTATGCCAAGTACGAGAAGTGCGAGTTTTGGCTACCGGAAGTGAAGTACCTTGGACATGTTGTCTCAGGAGGAGGAGTTTCAGTTGATCCTTCAAAAATTGAAGCAGTGATGGATTGGGAGTGTCCGAAGAGTGTATTTGAGATTCGGAGTTCCTTGGCCTAGCTGGCTATTATCGAAGATTCGTTCAGGATTTCTCTCGTTTAGCGGCACTTATGACTCGACTTACTCGCAAGGGAATCAAGTTTGTATGGAATGAGGCTTGTGAGCTAGCCTTTCGGGAGTTGAAGACTAGATTAACTACGGCTCCAGTTTTGGTGATTCCTGAACGTGGTTTGGGTTATGTGATCTATTATAACACTTTACGGGATGGTTTGGGTTGCATCTTGATGCAGACGGAACAAGTGGTTGCTTATGAGTCTAGACAATTAAAGACTCATGAGCAGAACTATCCGACTCATGATTTGGAGTTGGCGGCAGTGATTTTTGCATTGAAGGGATGGAGACATTACTTGTACGGGGAGAAGTTTGAGGTTTTCTTACTGGCAATGGTTGTAATAAACCTGCTGGCCTCTGATGCTCGGCCTTCACTTATTGACAAGTAAGGCACTTGGCCACAAACTGTACAATATCCCGTTTTATACCCTTTCACCAAAACTGACGTCTTAAATTGTGATACATCTTGGTACCACCTGGATGAACAGCAAGTCGAGAATGGTGAAAGTCCTGAAGGACCCTATCACGAGAAGGCAAAGGGACATACATCTTTCCCTTGAACCTAAAACCTCCATCTGAGTGTAATGTCCAACCATCTACAGACTCGCCACCTGAAATCCATGTGCGAATGGACTCCATCTCATTATCCTGCTTTTGTGCCTCAATTACCCAGCTAACAAGGGTTGGTTGAGCCACAAGATTAAACAAAGTAGCCAGTGCATCATCATCACTGAAATACAGACCTATCTTTGCAAAATCCTCCATCATTTTCCATTCCCGAATGGCAATGCTGGCCAAGTTTCTATGTGACTTCCTCCTCAAGGCATCTGCCACAATGTTAGCCTTTCCTGGGTGATACTGTATATCAAAATTATAGTCTTCCATATACTCCACCCATCGTTGTTGCCTCATGTTCAAGTCCTTTTGTGAGAAAAAATACTTGAGACTCTTATGTAGAAATGGGAGTACGTTACCATGGATTTTGTGACGGGACATCCGAGGTCAAAGAAGGGGAATGACGCCATTTGGGTCATAGTCGACAGGTTGACAAAGACAGCTCACTTTTTGCCTATGCAAGTATCTGATGATGCAAAAAAGCACAGTAAGCAGTATGTGGGGCAGATTGTCAGGCTCCATAGGGTTCCGGTGTCTATTGTTTCGGACAGGGATCCACGGTTCACTTCACATTTTTTACAGGGTTTTCAGGAGGCTCTTAACACAAGGCTTCATTTTAGCACGGCATTCCATCCTCAGACTGATGGTCAGTCAGAACGTACCATTCAGACATTGGAGGATATGCTACGAGCTTGCATCTTAGATTTTGGAGGCAGTTGGGAAGATCACTTGCCTTTGGTAGAGTTTGCCTACAACAACAGTTATCAGGCTAGCATTAAGATGGCACCTTTCGAGGCATTATATGGCAGACCTTGTAGATCTCTAGTTTGTTAGACCGAGGTGGGAGAGACAGCTGTCTTGGGTCCCGACATTGTTATTGAGACCACGGAGAAAATCAAGTTGATTCGACAGTGGTTGGTCAGGGCTCACAGTAGGCAAAAAAGCTATGCTGATAAGAGGAGGAGACCATTGTTCTTTGAGGTAGGAGACCATGTTTTTCTCAAGATCGCTCCATGCAAGGGATTGATGCATTTTGGGCGAAGTGGCAAGTTGTCTCCTTGGTTCATTGGGCCCTTCGAGATCTTGGATTGCGTTGGTGAGGTTGCGTATCGCTTGGCGTTACTGCCACATTTGGATAGGGTTCACAATGTCTTCCATGTTTCTATGTTGAGGAAGTATGAGCCAGATCCGTCACACATTTTAAGATGGGCCGACATTGAGATTGATGAGAATGCAACTTACGAGGAGGGGCCAGTGCAGATTCTCGACACTAGGGAGCAAGTGTTGAGAAACAAAACCATTCCATTGGTTAAGGTTTTATGGAGGCATCACGGAGTTGAGGAGGCTACTTGGGAACAAGAAGAGGAGGTTCATTCCAAGTACCCGGATTTGTTCGCGACTTGAGGTATGACCTGATTTCAGGGACAAAATCCCTTTAAGTTGGGGAGGTTGTGATGACCAAGTCTTGTCTTCTATTTTTATTTTCCTTTTATATTTATTTTTAATTGCATTTTGTTATGTGATGGGGCCTAGGTTGACTAGTTGATAGGATATGTGTGGATGAGAATGTGTGTGATATGTATATGTGTGTTTGTATAGAGAGAGAAAGACTAAGATAGACCCAAAATCCTCTCATTCCTTCCACTTTACCGACACTCTCTCTTCTCTCTCCCATTCTTTTATTTTTCATTTTACTTCAACCATTTCTCCACCATTTCACCTCCAACCTTTGAGATTTTAAGCTTGCATAGAAGGAAAATTGACGGGGACTACGAGAGGAACAAAACCCCTCAATCAATTTCGGATTTGGAGCACATTTTTCCTTTGGAGTAGCTAGGGTTTGCTCCTAGCTTGAGGTAGGGGTGTATTGTGCTTATAACCTAGGAGTTCTTGGGATTTTATGACCATTGTGTGAGTTATGCATACACTTGAGTGTGTGGGTTTAATTAGAAAGCTTATATAATGATTTAATTGCATGTCCATAATTTTTATTGAGTTTTTATATCAATTTTCATGTGTAATATGTTATTTGTTCCATTGTTGATATTATGGATGTTAATTAAAGTCCTAGATCTTAATGTGTATAATTTCTTGTAATTAAAGTGCCTTATATATTGTGTTTATTCATGAAATTATCATGTATTTGTAATTTTGTGAAGGTTAATTTTGAAAATGTATATATCAATAATGATGTTAAACTTTTACACACTTGAAATTTGATATAATGATAACATGAATTTAAATGACTTTAAAATACCCAATTTGTTGACATTGCATCAAGAGTATGCCATTATAGTGATTTGGACCGTAAGACATGGATTGTGTGATTAGTATAATTTATGTGCGCATGTGAAGTGCATTTTGAGCATATCATGGAATATAGATTATTTTGTGGACTTGTTTGTTGATTTTGAGAGATACTCGGGGGTTGTTACTTTGAGATTGCGAGGGCTCGGCGCTCGCCGGTGAAACATGAGTTTCCCCACTTTATATTGGCCAATCGGTTAGTTTCCGGTGAACTAGTAATCTGAAAATGACTATTTTTATTTAGGCGCATAGCATGGCTATGTGACCGGGAGTGTGGGTGTGTTCCGAGTTATCCCGTTAATTGATTTCGACTTTTATTTTTAAGTTGGCATTTATATATTATTGCAACTTGTGAATTTATGTACATTACACTATATTATTTATGTTTGTCTTGATGAATGAATTAATATTATTTATGCTAGATTAGGATGATCCTATTTAGGTTCCCCTTGAGACTAGACGTTAGGGAGCATGTTCCTTGTATTGTATGACCATGCAATGTTTGTAAAATTTTGAGAAACCTAGTTTATATTCATGAGACATTCCTATGGATCAATTCATTGCTCACCCCATTGATTCTTATATTTTTCAAGAAAGGGCATTGCCCAAGAGGAGGTTCTTCATCCCTAGCTTGATTGGGATATTGACAACATTTTTGAACTACTTGTGATAATTGTGACATCCATTGTGTAGCTTACTTTTGGACTTGTATTTTGACACATGGTGTATTTTGGATATTATATTTGATGACATGTTTGTAATATTCCTTTGGAGGACGGAAATGACGTACGAACTCACCCATCTATCTTTTGGAGTTCTTATGAAATTTCCTCTCTTATCTTTACTCATATAATCCTTTAATATTATTTCTCACCTTAGACTGTAATGAGGCCATGGTAGCCATGACTTATATAGTGGGATTGAACAATTATTGTTTAAGTTGTGTACATGTGGGTTCATTTGGATAGTCTAATATAAATGGTTAATTAATCATGCTATTATTTATTTTATGAAACTATTATTATTATTATTATTATTATTTATGTGGTGGATGACACCGGTTTTCTCCAATTAATTAATTATTTACTCAAGTGAATATAATTATTTATTTATTTATCTTTTTTTTTTTTTTTTCTTCGCGACCCGAGTCGTGGAATTCAGGGCGTGACATCAATTCTGTCGGTGCCATTCGATACGAAGCAATAGAAATTAGAATTGTCCCTGGTACCAATTCAACGGTAAAATCTACTTCTTTGTCTATTGGTAACCCTGACAATTCTTCTGGAGACACATCTGTGAATTCTCGTACCACTAGTATATCTTCTAGTTTCACATCTTTATTTTGAGTGTTAATCACGTAAGCCAAGCAACCCTGACAACCTTTCTTCAACAACTTTCTAGTTTGTATAGTTGAGATGAGACAGTTTGGAATAACATTTCTTTCCCTAATAAATCTGAACTCTTTCTCCCCTTGTATCTAAAATACAACTTCTTTCTAGAAACAATCTATTGAAGCATGATACACAGATAGCCAATTCATACCCAAAATGATATCAAAGTCTGGTATGCTCAACGGTATCAAATTCACTTTTAATTGCCTATCTCCCATTTGCAATACACAATCCCGATATTCATTTGCCACCACTACCACTTCCCCTATTGGTGTGCAAATAAACAATTTACTATCTAGTGATGAAAGTGGTTTACCCAAATGCATAACAATAGATGATGCAACAAATGAATGTGTTGATCCAGGATCAATAAACACAATAACATTTTGTAATACCCCTAATTTTAAAAAGGATAGTCTCAGTATTTCTTTTATTTGCATTTTTATTTATTTAATTGATTAATTGATGATTTGTTTAATTGTTTACGTGAATTATTTGTGTTCATTTAATTGTATGCTTATGTGGAAATTGAACTAATTGTTTTATGTGTTAAGTGTTTAGTTGTAATTAAATATTTAAATTAGATGTTTATTTTATTTTAAGGAGTTAGGCTTGGTTAGTATTTTAATGTTAATAATAGTAATATTATGTTAGTAGGTTTTATATATATATATATATATATATATATATATATATATATATATATATACTTATAAATTATAGGTATATATTTGGTTATCACGTATAGGGCATTATATGTATATGTAATTATATTTTAATTTTCTTTTATTTTCTTTTGTGTAAGCCGACTTAATATCGGGTTGGGATTAGGATTTATATAAACTTATAAATATGTAAGGTGTTATCTGCCTTAGGGTTCATAAAACCCTATTCACACCACCTTATAGAAGAGAGTGGTAGCAGAGAATTGAGAGAGAGAACCGTGAGGAGAGAAGTGAGAACCAAGGGAAAAGAACGGGGTCTGCTTATGGGTTAGAACTAAAGCAGTAGGAGGCTTGACAGTAATTAGAAGTCACCGGAAAATCTAGGAAGACAACGTTGAGATTTTAATCCGAAATCTCGAAGGCAAGTTATTTCTCTTACTCCTTCCCTTAAACTTGTGTTCTGTGCATGCATAGGTAGTCTCCAGGAATTAATCAGATTTTAAATTAATCTTTTGTTCATGTTCATTTTGATCTAAAACAAGTTTTGTGAATTTAATTACAGTTGATTGATTTTGAAGTATATGGCATGATTAATTGTTTTATTATTATTAATGATGCATAATGGACTTTATATAATTATCTGGGATTGCTGGGACATAGAACGGAGGCTTAGGACCATTAATAGAGGTGATCGAAGAGGCCAGAGGTCACCGGAGACGAGGAAGAAGGAGCAGAGCAGGTCGAGAGCCGGCTCCCTTTGTTTTTTGGCTCTCTGTGAGGGAGAGAGCCGGCTCCATGGTGAAGGGAGCCGGCTCCTTAAGGCACTGTTTTAGGCACTGTTTGGATGTTTTGGGTTCCAGAACTGTTTTGGGTTAATGATGGGGATTCTAAATAATTTTTCATGACCTATTAGAATCCCATAATGCATAATTTATATCTATATGCAAATGACTAGGGCAATATGAAATTTTAAACAAGTTTGCATGTTGTTAATAGATATAGAAGATTTAATTGCTTAATATTATTTTAGTAACTTAAATGACTGTGACATGATTTTTAAATCTTGTATTGGATGCATATTATGGTCATATACATATCAGATTTTTATTATGTTTATTCTGGATTAATTGATGTTTTAATTTATTATTTATCTCATCAATTATTGGACTGTATGGATGTGATGCACCAGTATGGGATGGTGACATCTTAGGGATGAATTAACTAATAAAAGTTAAGTCCTACCTACTTGAATATATAAGGGATGGATTAACCATAGAGTTAAGTTCTACTTATTTATGTTAGGCCACTATATCAGATGAATGACATTTGTGTATTAGGATTATACGGACTTTATATATATATGATTATGGTACCGTGATATGAACTTGAGTCTTAGGATTATGATTAGGGTGCGTATATTGCCTAGGATGGATAACTGGATATAGTAGATATCTGGTCCCCTGATAGGTCTAGGTATATATGCCCACTTTATGTGTGATTTGCATGTTGCCTTCTATTTAGATTGTAACAGATGTATGGTCTAGTAAGCGTCTTATAGTGTGTATTTATACATATATGAATTATTTAGCTATTGTTGAGTTGTCTAGGATGTATTTGCGTGTCGAGTCTCTGTTTGGATTGTAGTAGAGTAGAACTTGTTCGTGAGCCTGACCCACTATTATTTTTCAAGTATCGGACAATTCCAGTCTTAGAGCTTGTTGGTGCTGAGCAAAGACATTCACTCACTCTTCCGACTATGTAGGATTATTATTTATGTTTTAGTTTTGGATTTCTTTTCAGTTCAGTTATCTATTTTCGGCTTGGATATTATTAAGGGTCCACTAGATGGATTCCCAAGTTGTAATTTTACTGGAGGATTTGGAGATTTTATTAGAGGATTATTCAATTAGTATTTTCAAGGATTATTATTTAGATTCTTTCAGGTTAATTATTTATTTATTCTTATTTATTTTGTACTCATGCTTGTTTATATACTTAATTGTTTGGTATCCCTCGGATCTGTGCTCGGACTTGATCACCC